CCCCCCCCCCCCCTTCCCAACTGACCCCAGCATTAAATTCGTCGATATCTTTTCATGCACCTGGGTGGAGAGAGGCTCTGTGAGAGTTAAGTGCCTTAGCCAAGAACACAACGCAACGACCCCGGCCAGGGCACGAACCAGGATAGGCTCGATTACCAGCCGCGCGAAAGGCGCCCTAGCTCCTACCCCCGAACAGACTCGAGAGAGCGGCGGAAATCGACCGTAACACCAGGACCACGCGATCCCCAGTCCAGCATTAGGCCACTGCGTCCTTTCCCTAACCACTCAATACCTGTCACTCATTGTTATGAAATGAAACTGGGGAGTGGCAGTAGGCTTGTAACCAGATGGGACTGGATTTGGAATTAGCAGATCATTGGCTTTAACCGGGAGTGTCAGTAAACGAGATAATGGACTCCCAATAAATACCTTTAGATATACAACGCGACCACAATATTCCGCAGACTGGATTTTACACTTTCTGGGTCTGAATTGTTGTTTCAGCGTTTCGTCCTCAAATAACAAGAGGGGAGTGATCAACTGAACCTCACCTGAGACGTTGTGGATTACCCATCTACCCTGGGAAACGTTTCACATACTTAACCATAGTAACGGGTTTTAAGGTTAGTTTACATTTATTACAAATTGGCATGATCAACAAAAAATCAATTACACGTACATTTTAATAAACGAATGTAAGTTTCGAAAGGCACTGGTGTAAGCTTAAATATATTACAAATATGTGTATTAATAAGTATAAATAAGACCTTTCCTATGAGTTATGAGCTTGTATTATTGTGGTGTTAGTGATGAAGTGTTAGTGACACTAGATGAAGTATTTACAGTTGTTCTATTGTTGTCTACTTTTATTTATTATAATCACAATTTATTTGCGGTTTTTTTTTTGTTGTTGTTGTTTGTTTGTTTATGTCTTATGCTTTCGTTTTTCTTGAATGATGGGGAAAGTTTCGTAGCTGGGAATTTGTGCGCTGCGTGACACCAATTGACGACAGCAAGGGAAGTGTGTCATTCGCGATAATAAGCTATTTTGAAGTACGTATGTTGCATCGGAACGGTAACTAACGCTTAAGTAATATGTAAGTTAATCTGAACACAACAATATCTCAAAGAGCCATGAAGCACGCAAAGTTTAAAAAGTATGAAAAAGCATGCCATCTTGGTAAAAAAAGAAAAGTATACTTTCAAAATAAAGCAAAATAGTTAACAGTACTAAACAAAACCATGACAAAGTATACATTAACTACTGTAATGGTGAAGTTGCAAAAATCTGCAATTATAAAGAATCATGATTTTTATGCTATATAGAAACTCTCTATGATACCTTAACACATGTAATACGTCTTACATCAACCGACATGCACTACTGGACCTATTTTTTCTTTGTAGCTTCCTTTTAAAAATTTGTAGCATACCGCACATCTACTATTTACAATAAATTAATGCCTGTTAAATCTTTGTTACAGCAAAGCCTCTCTTGAGTAAAAGTCAATGAATAAGTCCCACGTTTGGATATAGTTGTTGCGCGGTCAGCGGACATTGGTGGTAATTTACACTGTCGTAATAAACCCAGTCAGGCATATAAGAGCTGCCATACCCTGATGCTAATCTTGGGTCAAGCTGCAAAGACCTCTGCGAATAAGGTGATGAGATGTATGCAGAGCTCAGTGGTGTTGGGCGTGCGGGTATTACGGTACTACGATCATCCAGATCTCTGTCGACTTTCTGTCTCTTGCTTGGCGGCTGAGGTTGGGGTCGGTGCTCGACGACCGACCCTTCCTCCTCCTTAAGATCAGTGTCCTCCCTTGTGTCGTTCGTTTTCGTTTCCGGTCTGTCCTCCGATTCCTGGTCTTCGCTTTCTTTGGATCCTTTCAGTTTACGATACTTGGCGCGGCGATTTTTGAACCACACCTAAAATAACGTCAAATGTACGTTAGAATTCGCATATTATAGATGATTTTGGTCGAGTAGAAAATGCGACTATTCTACATGGTTTTCCAACTGGCCAATTAAGTATGCACATCTAATTTCAACACAATACCGTACCGGTGCAGGTACATGTTGGTAAGTGATGCAAACAAAGGAAATTGTACCACCAATTCAAATTATGGAAGTTGTAAGGCAATGTGTGACAATTTGTGAGGAGAATCGTAGTAAAATTGCATCCTTTAAGAGTCATTCCATAAATAGATGTAACTGTTTACCCAGAGTGCATATTCTTTTGGGCTTTCTGATAGGCTTAAGAATATTGCGGGGCACAAAGCGCACCAAAACAGACTTGAAAACAGTTTTGTGACTGCACGGAAGTTTGGAAACGCCAGAGATACCTTAAGTGAAAATTTCTGAATTTTAAAGTGATATCTGATGTGAGCATCGCTGCGAAACGTATTTCCACTCTAGTTTGTTTTTCATCCGTAAGCCCTGACGCTAAAGCTCATTTCACGTTATTTAATTAGTTCGGCTTGGCCCTACATCGAGTCGTCAAGGTGTTTTTTCTACAAGCCGAGCAGGTAACGCGCAAATGATAGACTGAAATTTTGATTATAATCCTTTTTAAAGTGAATGGTGTTGACTCCCTTTGTCAGGGGCTATCGCTTTTAAGCTTGTGTTGAAGCACCTAATATCCATTATATGCTACGTTTGTAGATTTCGCTTAATCCTTTAAATCCCTTTGTTATCGCTTAGTCGTTAATTAAAAGACTAAGGGAAATCGAAGTTATTTTTGTAGTAAAGGCATTGAATTTACCTCCCACAAAAGGCCTAAAAATAGCACACCCATATAATCTCATCACGCAAGGAAGGATTTTGAGTCTATATTGTCCAGTTATGCAAATGAGATTCATTTATGTGGGTAGCGCACAGAAACGGCCCCAAAACAAAACGAAAGCTGTGAAATTTTCAATGGGAGTTATCGCCTGTTTGAAAACGTTCATGGATTTGAATCCTTTCAATCCTCATTTATCTACGCTTTTCTTGCAGCTACTTTGGTAGCTAGCTTCATAATTGTGACTATCTTTTTCATTCGTGCACTGCATGTTTACCACTGTTCACATATAGTATTGCCATGTTGTGTAGTTAATGAACTATTTAGTTCATAAGTTTTACACCTTTGTTAAAAAGTTAAAAAGTTTTCGTCCATTTAAAAGGTAATCACTATTCTAAGGAAAACGACCAATTTTTTAAGTTTGCAAGACATGTTTCGACAGAGCTTCTGTCATCTTCAGTTGAATGAATGATTACAAAGCAAGTTGAATAATAAGTAGGCAAAAATGCTAATTAAGACAAATAGTAACAACAAGAACGTGAAAAGGTGTAAGTTAAAAGGATAATTTTAGATTTACATGGTGTAATTGCTGATTGAGGGAAGGTAGTTCTTTTTGAATATGAATAGCCTCCTTTATCTTGAGTTGAGAGCTGGTAGTGGCGTGATCTAAAATATGAAAGCAGTCTATTGAACACAATGAGCGACAACGTTCAGAATTCTGAAGATGTTTGAAGATGTGAGAGGCCC